TTTTTTTTTTTTTTTTATTTTTTTTTTTTTTTTTTTTTTTTTTTTTTTTTTTTTTTTTTTTGTTTTTTTTTTTTTTTTTTGTTGTTGTTTTTTAATTAAATCAATAATCACTAAGCTTATAACACTGGTAGGCCTATATATTTCTGAAAGTAAAACAATAGTTTATTAATTGTTAATCTTGCTACGGTGAAGTCGATAAGTAGGCTTAAATGATAGTAATAATTTATTATTTAATTTTTAAACAAAATATTTTTGCTTTTAGTTTTAATAACACGGACACCAGAGTGAGACATTTAAATACGTTTTCCTAACAAATATAACATATCGGCGGCTAGGCCTTTAAAAAAAACACTTTAATTTCTAAGTTTAGTGAAAGAAAGGAGAAACAAATGGAGCTTTCAGTTCAAGAATTGGAGGAGTTACTGTATTGGGTAAGACTATTTTTAATTACGTGATCAATGTAACCTTGAAAATAAAAATTTAAAAAAAAAAACACAAAATGTATATATATTATGTCTTTCCGTCACCCGTATGTGTTGATAGAACATCTATTTTAAAACTCTAAATTCATTTGCGTGCAAACTTTAAATATTACTATTTTAATATAATAATTTAGATATAGAAAACTTAAGAAAATATCAAATAACACAAAGAACGTGTTGGCCGAAAGTCCTGTGCTGGTTCGCTGAAGTTTCCTAAGACAAAAGTGTCGTCATAACAATTCCATCATATTTTTATTAGTTACCAGATTTATTTTTTTTTAAAATTACAATGCGTAGTAATTAATTAAGAAAAAATTGCAATGATCGTTTCGATAAAAAAATTATACATATATTTAATAACTTTTCAATTTTAAACATTTATTCTTAGGCAGAAAGGAAGGAAGAAATGGAGAAAAAATTTCAAAATGAGGAACTGAAGGAGAAAGAGCATTGGGTACTAAATTATTTTGTTCTTCTATAAAATATTTCTTCTGTTTTTTAATATATATTTTATTTAAATAATGTCGCTGCTTTGAAGATAATAATAATAATAATAATAATAACAATAATAATAATAATAAAGTTCATTTCAAAAACACGCTTAATCCCCAAAGGCTCGAAGGACGGTACAAAGTCAACAAAAAACAATTCTATAATTTACCACATTTATAACAAACGCAACACTACAAAAACTAATTACAAGCATACAATGGCAAAGTCTTTCTAGCCATTTCAACCATAAGCAACACAGCCATTATGCATTAACTGGAAAATAAGGTTGACAATCATCCCAGAAGGTGTTTGCGAAATAGATGTGTCTTTAAATCGGTTTTAAAGGACTCCAGTGTCTGGTTGTTTCTGAGATCGACAGGAAGGGCGTTCCAAGATAGTAATAAAGTTAAAGAGTTTTCACATTTCATGCAGGGCCGACGCTAGGGGATGGTGAAGCGGGAAACCTTCCAAGGCCCCGCGCGTTGCCGTAGTATATATTTAGAACATAACTAAGCCTACTAATAGTTCCTAATCCAGTGAACTCAATGTTGGGAGTTATTAGATAGTCCAATGGTCTGAAGGTCAGTCTGGCTCCCATACTATCCCGAGTGAACAAATATTCGTTATGACGCATCCCGTGATGACTAGCAACGCCCCAGTACGACTATAACGTGTCTTAATATCTTATCAGAGGGATATTTAACGTCAACGGCCCCCCACAAGATTGAATGTGCCCAAGGCCCCGCACCCTCCTAACACCGGCCCTGATTCCATGTTAGCTTTTTAGGAACGACTTTAAAAACGAAAAAAAAACGGAAAAAAAAAAGAAAAAAAAAAGAAAAAAAAAGAAATTTATTTTTCTTAATGTGCCCAAGGCCCCCCACCCTCCTAACACCGGCCCTGATTCCATGTTAGCTTTTTAGGAACGACTTTAAAAAAAAAAAAAAAACGGAAAAAAAAAAGAAAAAAAAAAGAAAAAAAAAGACATTTCTTCTTCTTCTTCTTCTATATCTTAAGGGCCCACGATCAATGTATTGATCATTTTGGCTCCTATGCATGTAGATGGGATTTGCAATGTTTCTGTTAATGGTGTTGATGAGGAAATTAAGTAGGCTTAAAATAATGCTACAAGCAATTATTATCCAAAGTAATAAATAATTAAATAATCTCTTATTATCACTTAGTGAGATGGTGGCAAAGAGAAAGTATTATTGTACGCTCCTAACAAGTCAGGTAAAAACGTGGGCCACTGACGTTTCTTCTCCCGTGGTAATGATCGGAGGAGTTTGTGCATCGTCCGGTTAAACCTCTCACACTGGCCAGTCCCCTGTGGATGGTACGGAGTGGTCTGCGAATTGTTAATGTCGTAAACGGCACACAGTTTCGCAATGAGCCGTGATTCGGAGGACCGACCTTGAGCACTGTGAATTCTGACTGGCGCCCTGTAATCGCTGAAACCACTCGCGGGAATACTACTATGGCTACTGTTTAAAATGATGTCATAAACCGACAATTTTTTTAGAATTAAAAATTTAATAGAGAAAACATGATTGTTGACGTCAACTAATCTAGCCCCCCCCCCTTTTTTTTTTCCCCCCTTGTCAACAATTTTCAAACATTTCCAAACCCACC